AAGGGGTTCCTGGAGCCGAAGCTAGCCGAAGGATCGGCCGAAGCTACTGCCAGATCCTTCGGCAGCTTCGTGAATAGACCCCTACGTTTTTCTACTTACACTAGTTTTAGTTTATTTTATATATTGAACATGAACAACTATTTTATGGATGTAATATACTGTATGTGCTAGTTTCGAGTCTGTATGTTGATGACTTTGAATGATAAGCGACAATCAAGCAATAAGGACAATGGAAAGAATATGCAGATCTATTAATAGTTTTCTTCTGTTTTATATATTGCTAAATATGTTCTGTTTCCTCCAGCTTTTATTAAGTGATATGGATGTGGGTCATCGATTGCTCAAATCAGCCCGTGAGAAAGGAGAAAGAGTGCTAAACTACTTAGCAAGAGCTGAGGCTGAGCAGCTAGAAAAAGACATACACAGCCATGTGGAGAATTTGGAAGACCTGGCAAGTTCAATTAGGAAGGAACACACAGCCTTGGAGAAGGGTCTTCATTTGGCTAAGGAGTTTTCGGACAAGTATAAAGTGCAAGCCCAGTGGCTAGCAGAATGTCAGTCAATTTTGCAAGCTGATGTGGAGCCCAAAACTGAACTGTATGAGAAGAAGGCACAGCTAGCTAAATACAAGGTAACCTACACTCTCTGTGCAGTGGCAGAAGAACTGGCATGTTCAGGGGAAATGCATTCTTGTTATGCAAAGTCTTTACGTTTCTAAACACTTAAGCTTGGGTCTGTTGTAAAGCATTTTGGTGCTTTTGTGCAGTAAATCTCTCATATATGGATCACAAAGAGTCTTATCAGCAGATCATGGGATGCCAGCATCTGCATCATTAGATTGGTTAGTTGCAATTTTTCATCTAATATTTGGCGTCATAGCATGCACAGGACATGCACTGAATAATGAATGTGCATGGCAAGTATTAAAAAAGCTTGTGTGAGGATCTGATGGATCGGGGGCAGGCAGCCTTGGCACTCCAGATGTGGTGAAACTACAGATCCCACCTTGGGCCTCTGGTAGTCATGCCTGTGACTGTCAGTCCTGCAATGCCTTGTGGGGCTTGTAGTTCCACAACAGCTGGAGTGCAAAGGGTGCCTACCTCTGTGATAGATTGTTGTTGAAAGGTCTATCAGACTGTCAATGTATTCAAAGATGGATGCAGCATCACACCATAACATCCAACTCTTGTAAAACTAAGGCCGGGTTCACATCAAGGCGGCATAGTTTTTGTGCGTTTATGCGAGTTTTGCATATTTTTTTTTTTTTTTAAATTCTTTATTTGTAAACAAAGTGGTGGGATACAGAGATAATTCACATCGTATCTGGGCCACATGGCCGCACATTAAACCAAGGCAATGAACAACCTGATGATTAGTGTAGTGCCAAAAATGTCCAGGCCACGCCCGTTTTGCATATTTTTATGCGCGTTTGTACGTGCGTACATGAAGACGCGTGTTTTGATTGGCATGAAGATGTGCAACATGCTTCTGCCGTGCGTTTTTGGGCATTTCCTTTGAAGTCTATGGGGCAAAAACGCACTATTAAGTGCCCAAAGAAGCTCATGTACCTTTTTGGGCATTTGGCGTTTTCCTGCTGGCGTTTGCTGCTCAGGTGTCAACAGGGGCCATAGAAAATCATCAGATTTCTTGTGTTGAGCGTTTAAAAGCGCTTTTCCTACTGCTCAAAATAGCCTGGGTGTGAACCAGGCCTTAGATTTAGCCCACTGGTGGGTAAAAAGCAAAAGAGGAGTAGGTGAGAGGCGCAGCATTTGAAGGCAGTCCTGGAAAAATAACGTATTACAAGTGATGGACATTTCGGTGTGCTGACAGCTGTTTTTATCTGGTGTAGAGAGACTTTAGAGTGGGTCGCACATTTGCAAACACATTCATTATCTTATCGTTGGACAACCTGATACATTGATTTCTTCCTCCTGAACGTTGTTGTGAGCTTTTCAGGAAGGTATCCCACATCCACAAGATTGTTGTTCAGTCAAGGAACTCATCTCATTTATATGGGTAGCTCTAGCCAAAGCAGCCCATGATCATTGTAATGTCAGGTCTGAGAGTCCTGGTACTGGATCACTGCTGAATGTAAGGGAGTTTCAGGCTCTGCCACTGCCAGAAATATTATTGAAAAAGCCTTTCTACGCTTGTGCTATATCTGCAGACAAAATGTTAATTACGTAATTGTTTTTTCAGTCCATTCAGCAGACTGTTCTCTCCCATGAGCCTTCTATCAAGCTAGTCATTGAAAAAGGAGAAGCTTTGTTTAGTCTGACCCGGGACGCTACTGCGGGAGACAAAATTCAGAAATTGCAAAAAGACTATCAAGGACTGTGCCACATGGCAAAGGTGAGAGAAGAGACAAAATACATTAACATGTCTGACATTTTATACGGATGATGATGGAAATAAATGCAAGCTTTTATGACACAAAGAATTTAGTAAAAAAAAGTGTGTGTGTGTATATATATTAGGGCTGTTACTAATTAAAATTTTCATGTTCGATTAATCAATTTTTTTTTTAAATCGATGAATTATAACGCACATACAGATCCAACTACATTGGCATAATGATTTTAACACAGCTGAAAATGGCATTAAGTTGGGAACTCTTGACATTTTTCTGGGCCTGAGTATTGCAGATAATTACTTAAAATGATTGAGGCAAGTATGAATTAAGTATTATGTCGTAACATTATCTGTGTGCTGGCAGACTCAGCAAAAACATGTTACTTTATTTAATGATTGCACTGGTGCATGTTCAGTCACCGAATTCTTGGTGACAGATTCCTTTTAAAGCTGTGTAGAGCCTGGGCACTTAACTGAGCTCTGTGCCTGCACACTGGAGGTAATTATTCACAATCATTATGACCAAAAACAATTAAGTACTGTGTTGTTAATAAAGAAATGAATACACTTAGTGGAAGCATCTTACATGTTTGCTTCTTGGGCAAACTCACCGGCCCAAGTGGCTTCCCTTCGTTAGCCGTCATGAACATCAATGTCACCAGACTCCTCCCCCCTTCCCTTCGTTATCCGACGGAGCCACTTGGGGAAGGGGGGAGGAGTCCGGTGACATCGATGTCTGTGACGATACGGGGCTGCTTTTGCTTTAAAAATGCTGGTTGCCCGGCCATCATGCTGTATGCTTTCCAAATCATTGAACTGGAAACAAGTACGCAGTGTATACAGTGTAGTTATTACACATGATACCAACCCCTGAATAAAGCTCTAGGAGCATCGGCTTCCCGAGGCCAGGTGCCACCCGGTCTCTAGACCGGGTGACACCCCGGCGTGTCGTCATTGCGCGTAACGTCATGCGCATGCGCAGCCATCTGATTGACGCCTGCCGGCGGCCATCTTGGTGGTGGACGCAGGCAGAAAGAGGAGGGGACGTTCACCCGGCATGATGAGGAATGCTGCCGGGTCCCCTCCTCTCTGCTGGCACTGTCATGGACCGAGAGCCCGACTTCTTAGAGGGGGTGGCACCAAAATGACTGTCAGTCATTTTGGTGTCACCCCTGCAATGGTGTCACCCGGGTGCGGGCCGCACGCCCCGCACCCTCCTTGTGACGCCACTGCTGTACTGAAATTGCTTCATCTGATTTCACTGAACACTGTGAGATTCACACGGTGTTCATAATAAGCTTGAGCAATTTAGATAGAGCCTGTCTCATTTCATGCCTGGAAGATGACCAGCATCATTTAACTTTATCCACCCCAACCTTGCTATCTTTGTGTCATCACTTTCATTTATTGGATTTCAGTTCTTTCAATCATGGAGTATCATCATTACATGTTGATGAGAAGATGTTGTAGAGAAGCTCAGATACCCGGTGATGATGTCACTGGATCTAATATAAGAGTTGTAATGAAATAAAAATGGTTTTATTTAAATATTTAATTACCATGTTGATGGGGGAGGGGGAGGGGGAGGATTGAAGGCAAGATATAAGTAAATTATGCTTTAACTTTAAGAGGTGTGTAGTGCTTGAGCTAAAATAACTAACCACAGTCCATATTCTTTTCATATTTTTTAGACGTGAAAAACATTTTTATGTTTTTTGTTTTTTTTTCTGTAAATAGACAAGTGTAGCAGATTTGGAAGAGAAAGTAAAGGAACATGAAGCCTACAATTCGGAGCTGCAGGATGTGGAGAAGTGGCTGCTTCATATGTCAAGCAGACTTGTAACTCCAGATCTAATGGAAAGCAGCAATTTAGAGACCATTACTCAGCAGCTGGCAAACCATAAGGTATTGTATCATAGGTGATAAATAGGCTTTTTATACATTGTTTTATTTTTCACGTTGCCTTGACATGATTATAGTGTTGATATCAACTTGGTTACTTAAAACCGGTAGATGATGGATTCAATGCAGATGATTTTCTAAAGAAGAGAATGTTCACTTAACCACTTCAAGACCAGGTGTTTAGACCCCCTTCCTGGCCAGGCCATTTTTCAGTATTCAGCACTGCGGTACTTTGACTGACGTTTATTCCGTCATGCAACGCTGTACTGAAGTGAATTTTATACCATTTTTTGGGGACAGATAGAGCTTTATTTTGGTGGTATTTAATCACCACTGGGGTTTTTTATTTTTTACTATAATTGGGAAAAATTACAGAAATTTTTGAAAAAAAAAAAGTTTTTTTTTACATTATGTTAGGAAACATTTATTATTACCCAGTTTTTTGGTAAAATATAAAAGATCGGGTCACGTCGGGTAAATAGACACCAAACATGTCAAGCTTTAAAATTGCGCGCACCCGCAATCAGCGGGACAACTGCGGGGGCGACCGCGGAGGAGGGGGGGTAACGATCGGCACACCATACACGCGTGTCTGAGCGGACATCTAAAGACGCCCGCTCAGATCTAGAGACCTCTCGGCCGACCGTTTTTTTTACAACGGCCGGCCCTGAGGTGGTTAAAAAGACCTCGTCACCAGACCGTACAGGAAATGAAGTGAAAAGCTTGAATTAGCACTTGCATGTGTTCAAACTTTTTTTCCCATGTTGTGATCCATGTGACTTTAGTTGGACTCATGCCACTTTCTGGAAGTGTAAATTCCTGTCTACGCTGACTACCCAAGCTCCTGCTTGGGTAGTTAGTTTGATCATATATTCACATTCACATCACTTAGTAAACAATCTCTAGTCTAAATCAACAACAATAATGTCTCTGTTTCAACAGGGGAAATATAACCATCTGTGTATGTAAGCATTATTTAAAAGTAAGGCTTTGTTAGCAATAGGGATAGACTCGCTCGCTTGATTTGATTTTCAGAGTTCCAAGCTTGAGTTCCAACTCTTTCCATGTTCTAAAGTTCGAATTCGAACCAAACTCAGGTGTGTTCGGCTCATCACTAGTTAGCAACAAAAATCAGTAGCCACAAATGGAAATGATGGTTGACATAAAAAGATTAGTGTGCTGACAAAAAGCTGTGTGATCACTTGAAGGGTAGCCCGAAAGGCTGTTCAGTCTTTCAGAATGGAATATCGTAAAAGGCCAAGCGTGAAATGTGAATAGTATGATCACTATGTTGAGAGTCAGTGTGAAATGCTGCAGAACAAATTTGTTGGTTTACACTTTTGTCCATTTTCTTGCCTTGACTGTGCATATTGTAAGACTGCCATTATCTTTGCAGATAGATCACTAAAGGCAAGAACTTAATAATGTAACAATTACTCCAACAGGCAATGATGGAGGACATTGCTGGTTTTGAAGAACGCTTGAACAGTCTTAGGCTAAAGGGAGAGACTCTGGTTCTTCATTGTTCTGAGCACCTTCAGGGAAAGTTCAAGCAGAATATTCAGGCCCATTTACAAGGGACGAGGGACAGCTACTCTGCCATTTGTAGCACTGTCCAGCGAGTAAGTATTGTTAAACCCTGAGCCTACAAAAGGAGTTGGGAGAGATTCTATACCTGCAATTTGCCTCACTTTGCTGGGATCTGCCGTAGGTTGTAGTTTGGGGATGGTTTTGTTTAAATAGGTGTCTATTTATGGTGGAGTATTAGCAGAGCAGGCTGGGCTCAAATGAACTGATTGTTGTTTGTAGGATGTTCGAAACTCTGAAACTGGTTAATATAGCTTCATTAGAAAACAATCTCATCATATGAATGCTTACACATACATGACATTGATATCATCCAATGATAAGAGCTCATTCACACATGTATTATTAGCAAACAGTCTTATCATATGGATGGGTTATACAGCGATGTAATTTATATAATTCACTGATAAAGAGCTCATTAACATCTGCATGTCTAGAAATGCATATTTCTTATTGCAGAGCAGGAAAGATACTGAGTGTGTTTTAAACACACTTACAGTGTTATATGGCGTATGAATACCATTAAATACACAGCCAATGTTGTGGTGTATGGCACCATAGGCAGCAATGGCCTTTCATTTTGATGCTTTATCCCATATAGTTGAAGTACAACTAAAGCCAAAACTTTTTTTTAGATAGAGTACGTTTTTCTGCCATCTGTATCCCATTAGGGAGATTTCCCTTCACTTCCTGTCCGATAACTACAACAGGAAATGAGAGGAAATCCCCCCAAAGAGAGGGGAATCCCCTGTGGTCCCCAGAACTAGTGTCCCAATTAGAAGATTTCCCATCTATTCCTCGTCTGATGACAGCCCAAAATGTGAGAATGTCACCAGGATGCATGGAGAGGGTGGATCTCCCTAAAGAGGACGAAGACAGCAATAAAAACTTGACAAGTGTTCTAATCCCTCTCTACACTGTCCAAAACTAAAAACAAAAAAAGTTCTGGCTTCAGTTGCAGTTTAAGTACTCAGGTATGAGGTGACCCTAAATGGTACTTTACCTGTACAGTGCTTGACATATTCTACTAATATATAATGGATAAAGCTGCCCATACACCTTGCGATCATTGGACGAAACTTTTCGTCCGATGATCGTACCATCGTGCGATTTTCGTACGGCGACCCCATCCTGCTCCGATTACCGCAAGGTTGAATAAGCAGTAATTAAAAGAAAGCACCTGGACGAATTGCGGTAATCGACCACACATATTTTCGCCTGCGCATGTGCAGTGTAAATCGTACGAATTTTGACGTACAGAAACGCCACCAACCTTGCGAAAACCGTACGATCGACTGAAGTTTTCAAATCTGCTGGTTAGTCAAAAGTCGATCGATTGTACAGTATTTGCGGTTGTACACTGCCCATCAACCTTACGAATATCGGACGAAAACACGCTCGCATACGAAAGTCGGCCGATATTCGTAAGCTGCATGGGCAGCTTAACACAGTGCAACAAACCGACCAATCAGCAGAGTTAATGATAAGGTGCATACAGCATGCTTTTAAGGATTAGTAGACTTGAAGACAACTGTATATAGTAAAGTCCCTGCACCCATTCCATTATTTAAAGTTTTCCTCAAAAAACCTATTTCTCGACAAAGTAATGAGCCCTTTACATTTACACATGTCATTTGTTGGCCACAACCATTTGTAATATGCGATTTTTATTTTTATTTTTTTTCTTTAAAAAAGTATATCTGTGTCCAGTACTGGCTGCACATTGAAATCATCATGTTTAACCGCAGGTTTATTTAAGTTTGGAGAATGAACTCCAGAAACATGTCAGTCACCAAGACACACTGCTGCAGTGCCAGGCCTGGCTGGCCTCCATGCAGAAAGACATAGAACCTGGCACCAAAGCTCCTCTCAGTCTGGCGGAGGCAACAAAGCAGGTTAGTTTACACTGAGTCCGTTTTGAGCAGCTTTACATTTTAATGTTCATTGCTAAATTGTGTACCATCAGTACATTAAGTGCTCTATTTAATAGGTGTATTGTGGATGTAGCGATTGTTTGTTTTAAAGGTACCATTTGTTTCATGCCATTTTACATTATGTGTATCCATTCAGGCGAAGCATTTCAGGACTCTGCAGGAGCAGGCCAACACGTACTTGGATCTCTTGTGTACTGCTTGTGACTTGTCTGATGGTCCTGTGAAGAATGTGGCAATCAACATACAGCGAACAAAGCAAACAGTAAGAACGGCTCTGCCTATACTTGGCTAGATTGGGAGTGCATAGTGACATGTAATCAGAGTTATTCACAAAAGGGTGATACGTTTGGAGAAGGCATGAGAAGTGAACAGTCTAGGACAACATAGCTGAGCTGTAAAGTGAGCTGAATTGGAGAATTCTTTGCAAATCAGCTATTTTGCCCTAGATTGTTCACTTCACCTGCCTTCTCCACACTCTTCACCCTTTTGTGAATAACCCTGCTAGATGCTGTTCAGCGCATGTAGCTCTCAGAGCTGCTTTACCTGTACTTCTGCAAAATGAAAGTGAAAAGAGCATAGGCAAAAACTGATTGTCCAAACTTTGCTCGTGCTGGTCATGGTGATCTGAAGTCCGCTTGTTGACAAAGGAGCTGAGAATAATTGTTGCCACTGATAACCCCTTAGGAATCTTGCACACGGCCATAAGACGGCTGTACAGAGCACATCCCTGCGTATTACTCATGCTGGGAGTGACAGGTGCACCATACAGTTCATGCAGTCTGTCTGTACAAATCAATGACAGGCTGGCTGATAATGGAGCTGTACTTGTATGTACAAAAACCCCACTGTTTACATACGTGTTAGGATTACGCACTACAATGAACGCAGAGGTTTGGCATGTCCTAATGTTCTAAATGGTTGAAATGCGTGAGCTCCATGTCAGGGTTGTCCCTATATTGAGGCAACCTGAGGCAGGTGGCATCTCATTGGGTCACGTGGGAAAGGGGGGCTTGAGGGGTGCCTGCTGCCCCCTTTACGACCAGAGCATCCCAGGTTGCTAAGAGCTCTTAGCAACCTGTGACATTCTGGGCGGCATCCTCGCACCCAGCTCACAGGCGTCATTGGTTGTCAGGAGCTGAGCAGGACACTCTGGCTGGTGTCCCGTTCAGCTCGTAGCAGCCAGTGATGTCAGTGAGCTGGGCTGGACACCGTGCACCACAAACTGCCCTTGTCCCGCACCCCCTCATGAGAAGAATTGGAATAGAGGAGAAACCCTCATGTTGCAATAAGGATACCCTTGCATTACAAAGTTTTAGTAAAGCTTATTGAAGTATTACAGAGATTATACAATGAGATTGGAACATGCAGGACCAACTTTAAACCGAGTACTTATCCACTGCCAGAGAATAATAGAAACACTTCAATAAATATAATAAATTAAGATGACTTAAGAATATCATAAAAAAGGAATCTGCACAAAATCTATAGGCTGATATTAGCTTCCATGAGAACAGCTCATTAATAACCCCAAGAGGTAATTTGTAGAAGAAAACAGCAAATCAGAAACTAAAGTGACAAAAGCTGACTTGTTTGACAATGTTTACTTCCTCAGATTGAGCAGAGAATGATGGTGGCTCAAGATCTGGCAAACGGCTGGGAAGAAGTTAAACATCTAAAGGCGGAGCTTCAAGCATATTTCCAAGAGGCCGGTCAGCAGATTCAGAATATGAAGAGGAGACGAGCAGAGCTGGAGATTAAACTGGTACAGAACATGGTATCACAGCTTAAGGTACTGGGGACTTTTCCCTTCTATCTTATTAAATCAGAACTTGCCAGTCTGTGGTGTTTGTGCTAACACAAGTGATTTCCAGATAAAGTCTCTATTTGTAAATAGTATAGAATAAGTCGCTGTTTACAGCTAGGTGTTTTGTAGCTCAAAGAGCTATGCACTACAATTACATTTGACTGTTTTCCATTGCCCGTGGTCACACGTGAGCGCCTTGTCGCGTGTAGAAAAACGCCTGTTGCTGGGTACATGAGCTATTTTTCTGCAGATTTTTACGCTTTCAGCCTCAGAGACTTCAATGGAAACACCTGTAAATGTGCAACACAATAGTTTTTTCTCTTTTTTGAGCATTTTGTTGCACATTTGTCGAGTAAGTCATAGTTAACACCTAAGCGTCAGCGTTTTTGCGCATATTAGTGCACGTTTTGTTTAGCGTGGTTTTGCACATTTTGATGCGTGTTAAACTCACATATACAAAGACGGGTGTCTTATTGAGCAGATTGAAATGTTCAACGTGCGCACAAACAAGTAAATGAGCAGACATGTATTGAGCAGATTGAACTGGTAACGTACGCAGAAACACGTAAAAACGCACACCGAAATGTGCAAAACGCTTGTGTCATGCATTTTCATGTGCTTCCACTGAAGTCTATGTGACCAAGCGCGTTGTAATCTGCCTGATAAAAATTCATGTACCCTTTCAAGCGTTCGCCCGTTTTACAGCTTGCGACAAAACTCTCTGGCGTGAACAGGGGCTATGGAAATGAATGAATGAACAGACTAAGAGCCAGCCTTCCTCTGCAAAAAAACACTGGGAAACAAAATGGAGGACAAGGCATAAGAAAAACGCGATAAAATGATTTGAAAAATGCTTAAAAACATTTGACAAACACACGTCGGTGCATGTGAAATACTCACAAATGCTTAGAAAAAAGCACCTGAAACACTGACACTTAGGTGTGAATGGAGCCTTAGGGCTTGGCCATTGCGCTAAACACACGGGATGCGTGCGTTTAGCACATGCGATTGCACAGCGCACGGTGCCACACACTAGATGTGCTGGTGTTTTGCATGTCATTCTCAATGGCAACACAATGCATGCACTACCTTTGGGCTCCATTCACACTTGCGTTTAAGTGGCCATACACTAGTAGATCTTCCGTTCAACTTTTTATCAGTTGATGGGGTCAAATCGATCATGAATTTCGACCATACGGTGAAAAAAGCTGAAGGAGCTGGATGGAAATGTTTTCTTGAATAAACTAAATTATAACAGTGAATGTGTTTTTTGTTCTGGCAAACTCCATTCATTCCAAAATTGAATGTTAAAATAAAACAACATTTCGTTCGACATTTGTCAAGTGTCTGATGGCATTATCGGGTGGTTTAAGCTGCCCACACACCTTACAACCATCGCACGACTTTCAATGTGCGATGGTTGTAAGGTCATTAAAATTTCGTACGACCTGCCCATCTTGGACAGGCAGATCGTACTTGCGATCATCGCAAGCCCTCCCTGCTGAGGGGAAGGCTTACTGTTGATTGCAATGCTGAGCGGGCAGGGTGCACACCGGCACCGTGCGGTTTTCGTCTTCCGAGCACGCTTACCAACCCGCCGAAAACCGTACGATTTTCGGTGGGTTTTCCAGCGCACTAGGAAGACGAAAGTCGTGCGACCGTACAGTAGATGCAGAAGATTATCGTACAATCGCGGGATCACCCGCGATTATCGTACGCTAATCGGCAGGTGTATGCGCATAGCCAGTGAGCACTCCCATCTGAGTTCTGTTTATCCTGCAGTGAACAGTGGTCAGACAGAATAATGCACACACCACCTTTGGACAAATTTGGAAACTTACATGTGATGCAACATATGTGAGGATGCATAATCTTGCAGTATGCAGGTTAGCAAACAACGTTAACCAACAATGAGTGCACCGAAGCAGTAGAAATAGTGAGACATTTTTCACCACCTTGACTTTTTGTGTTCCATTCAGATGTATAATTTTGCATCTTCAGTGATCATTACTATTACATTTGCTAGTTCTGAAAGCTTTCATTGTACTTGAAGAAGTATCTGCTTTAGATTTTTACATAATTTAGATGCGCTTATGTAGAATTGTGCTTAAAGGCCACCCTACTCTCGATTCTTATTTTATAATCTCTGTGTGCTAGGAATTCAATCAGAAGCTTCAGTCTCAGCAAGATAAGATTACCAGTTTTACAGAGAAAGTGAACCGGCTGACCAGCGGACAGGAGTCTCCAGAGCATGCAGACATTGGGCACCTAAGTAATCGTTGGCTGGACTTTTGCTTTCAAAATAACAATCTGCTTCAGCAGAGGGAGGAGGACCTGCAGAGAACACGTGATTATCATGATCGCCTCAGCTTGGTGGATGTTTTTCTGGAAAAACTCACCACTGAATGGGATAACTTAGCCAGGTAATTCACAAATAGTTTTGTTTCTTTTTTGAATTTTCTTTTGATTTTGAAGACAATTGTTGCTATGGCAAATTTGGTCCTTACAGCAACCCTGACGGCACAGACTCACTTGTATCTAAAAGCATACCTGCTAAAACAGGGCAGAATATACTTACCTTTCCTGTGGCCCATGTCTAGAAATGCCACTGCTTCGCTGCTCCCCTGCCACTGCCCACTGCAAGTATTTAACCATTCGGATGGGTTGAATACCTGATTACTACACTGCACACAATGGTTACTTCTGCCAGCTCTTACTTCCTGTAATGATGTACAAACTGGTGAAAGGAACCACAGCATATGGCAAGCGATCAGGTTTTCCACACACCCGTTACTTGCAGCGCCGGGGGGAACAATTAAAGGGACAATAAAGGCAATCCCCCCCTCCTAATACTGCTTTAAAGGCTTACCTTATGTGATGCCTCTTGATCCGAACAGATTCTTTCCAAAGTCCCTCCAGCGCTGGTTCCTGTCTCTGATCCATCGCAGACTCCTCGTGTCCCACAGAGTCTGTCCGACGTGCGCACTCCCGGCTGCGTCCATCCAGCCTTAGCATTGCTCTCCTCCTCACCTCTCCAGTGATCTGCAGTGTGTATGCGCCTGCCCACACTTCCTTCTTTAGGGCCGGTTTGCACCACAAAGTCTGCGTTCCAGAGCGTTTGGCGTTCCGGTCCAGTGCAATCTGCAAAAATGCTGCAAGCACTATTTTTGCAGATCGCACTGTACCGGAACGCAGGCACTAATGTGCCTGTGTTCCAGGTGCGGGCATGGGGCGTGGCTGCGATGCCATTGACTTTAATGCACCGCCACTCCCCCTCCAGCTAGTGTGCTTTTGGATACAAGTGAGCCTGTGCTGTCAAGGCCACTTTAAAGTAGATCTCACGTTAATTTTTCTGATTTGGGCAGAGTACTTGGAGCTACAGAGCTTCTGTCAGGTATTTGATGATTTTGGTAATCCTGTTGGTTGTCTCTGGCAAAGGAAGTGAAGAGAGGTTGTTACAGGGACACGGCTAACAATAAAAAGCTGACAGCTTCTAACCATACCCAATTCTATTAAAAATACATATTATTACTGCTTATATGTACTTGTTTGGGAGATTTCCAAACAAAGCAGCTTTTAAAGAAAGGTTTGAGAGGGTTACAAGTATCTGTATAAAAGAGACAAAAAGAACATCAAAATCAAAGTACAGAGAGGAGAATTTATCAAGACTGGTGCACACAAAATCTGGAGCAGCTGTGCATAGCAACCAATCAGCATCCACCTTTTATTTTCAAAGCTTAGTTTAACAAACTGAGGAGAGAAGCTGATTTGTTGCCATGGGCAGCTGCTGCAGATTTTGTCTGCTGCAGTTTTGATAAATTCCCCCCAGTGAGTGTATACTTTTTTCTTCTTGCTGTGCTAGATTTTCTTTATTGTATTGCATATGTCTTGTGACTGTAGAATAGAAAATGAGGGGTTTATTTATAAAGCAGTGAATGTGACTTTCACCAAACATTCTCTAGTGGAGTGTCAAACTCTGCCATTTAAAACACATGCACCTGGATGCCATGCCACCGATGTTTTACTATCATCCTCTTGTCTCCCAATGCCATGTTTTATACTACTTGATTTTTGATATGGACTGTTTGAATCCTGTTAAAAATGCTAATAAAAACTGATTCAACACTAAAACACATGCACCTGGAATGATGAGAATGTTTGCTGAGTGGCAGATTCTATGCTTTATAAATATGCACCTAAGAGTATAGTTTCTATCAGTTCCTAGACTGGTAGAAAAAAAAGTGGAGGTGCCCATAGACATGAGATGATAGCATTCTGACCTGGCCATTTTTAGGCAAATTGGTCAACAATATAATGGTGGGGAACAGATATGCACTTTTGAGAGCTCCGGTTTTCTACTCTACATTGAGTATGGAGTACTCAGTTATGCTAGTGTCAGGGCGGTGGGGTCATGCAGGTGCAAGTCAAGGTCTATGAGACAAGTACAACGATCAGCAGTAGTATAAAGAGGCTTTATGTGTGATAAGCAAGTATGGCTGCCTCAATGTACACAGATATTTAAATGACTTATAACACATATTGATGAAATTACTTAGATTAAGCTGATTGCTTTCCTGTGTATAGCTATGCATTAAAAAAATGTGGTTTCCTCTTAACACTGCACCATTCTTCTAAATGTATCTTTAAAATGTACACCCTGAAGCAGTCCAAACATTTGAAAAATCGTATCATGGCAACTTTTAAGTAAATCTTTCCTAAAAAAACAGAGGGGGGCTATCATTGCCAATCCCCTATTGGAGATGCTAATTTTCTGACTAGTACACTGACCCACTGGGTTCATTAGGGTTTAAGTTACTGACTTGAAAAAAATATATACATATCTATAAAGTATATAAAGGAGTAAAGTTGGACATCTTTATTTGTATACCTGTTCCAGGTAAGGGACACAAAGTGTAGAAGTAAAAGGGGAAAACATGACAGCCAGGAAATTATTAAACTGTGCATATATACTGTATATATATATATATATATTGATATATTGATATTTCTGAATTATTTTTTTTAACAGATCTGATACTGAGAGTACAGCTGCACACCTTGAAGCTCTGAAAACATTGGCCTCTATTCTTCAAGAGAGAAGGATTGCACTTGAGGACCTTAAGGAACAAAAGCAAAAAATAACTGAACATTTGAATGCAGATGACAAAGAATTAGTGAAGGAGCAAACCAATCACTTTGAGCAGCGCTGGACTCAACTTGAAGACCTTGTGAAAAATAAAATCCAGACCTGTGCTACAACTTTGGAACAGTTAAACTTAGTTAATTCTCGCCTTCAAGATTTAACTGAGTGGGCTGAAGATCAGCAGCCTAGCATCACAGAGGCTTTGAAACAAAGTCCACCACCAGAACTTGCTCAGAACTTGCTCATGGACCATCTGACTATTTGCAGTGAAGTGGAGACCAAACAACTGTTACTGAAAAACCTGATTAAAGATGCTGATAAAATTATGGGCAATTTAGGACTGAACGAAAGGCAACAGCTTCAGAAGGCTCTAGCAGATTCGCAGAAACATGTAGACTGTCTCAGCGACTTGGTCAACCAGCGTAAGAGACATCTGAACAAGGCCTTGTCTGAAAGAGCACAGTTTTTAATGGCAGCTTATCAGGCATTAAAACAAATTCAACAGCATGAAAAGAAAGTTATGTTTCAAGAATACATATCTCTCCATCCTGATGATGTAACCAAACAAATCAGGACTTGCAGAAATGCCCAAGCTGGCTTGAAGGCTTATCAGGTTGATATTAACTGCCTGTGGAACCAGGGCAGGGAACTGATGAAAGAGGCCACTGAGCAAGAAAAGGTTGAGGTTTTAGGAAAATTACAAGAGCTTCAAAATGTCTTTGACAGTGTGTTGCAAAAATGTGGACAGAGGCTCATCGAACTTGAAAAGAGCCTAGTTTCAAGAAAGCATTTTAAGGAGGATTTAGATAAGGCTTGCCATTGGATTAAGCATGCAGATGTTCTAACATTTCCTGAGATCAATTTAATGAATGATGATTCTGAGCTTTACTCACAGCTGTCCAAATACCAACAAATACTTGAGCAGGCCCCAGAGTATGAAAATCTTTTACTTTCTTTGCAACAAAATGGCCAGGAGATTCTCCCGTCACTGAATGAGGTTGATCATTCTTATCTAGATGAGAAACTGAATTCTTTGCCCCTGCAATGTAGTTATGTTGTCAAGTTAGCTAGAGAAAAGCTTGGTAAGGTTCAGGAAGCAATTATTATGCGTAAAGAATACGTTTCCCTAATTGATTTGACAAGCAAGGCTTTAAAAGAATTGGAAGATCACTTTTTACTCATGAACAAAGTTCCTTCCAGTCTTTTAGCTCAGGAAGCATTGGCACTTCAGCAAAACTGCTCTTCTCTGTTAAATGAAGTTGTGACCCTTGGCACAGCAGTCAACGAACTTAATCAAAAGAAAGAAATTTTCCGTAGCACAGGACAACCATGGCTTCCTGAAGAAATGCTGCAAGTTGTAAGCCTGTTTTATAAGTTAAAAAGAATGATAGAGCAGAAAGTTAGCCAGTTGGCAGACATTACAGATGCCTATAGGAGGTACGAAGATCATTGTTCAAAGATGAATTTAAAGTTTGAGACAATAAGTAAGGAGCTAGAGCAAGTTAATGTGGAGACACTTCCAGCTGAGGATAAGCTGAAAAGTTACCGTACAATGGCAGCCAAGCTACAGGATGCTGGAACTCTTCTTAGGCGCATTACAGAACAGTTAGAGGAGATGTCCTCAATGCTGGAACCTTCAGCGTGTGAATCTGCCGATATGCAAGTACAACAGTGGCATGAAAAGCTAAAGTTATGGAACTCTGTAGTGAAGGAGAAAATGGGAGAAAGTGAGAACAGATTTATGCAAAGTATAGACTTTCATACTGAGATCTGTCGTATTCTAGAGTGGCTTAGACAAATGAAGGTGGAGATCAATGAACCTTTGCTATTGGATGGGAAACTTGAAAGCATCCAAGAAGAAATTAGAAAGTTACAAATTCAACAGGAGGAATTTGTGTCAAGTTTAAGAATAATAAATGCACTTTTTCTCAGAGAAAAACAGAAGTATCTGAAGGCAAAGGAGTTTGTTCCAGCTGATCTGGAAAACAGCATGGCTGAGGTGTCTGAACTTGAAAAGGAAATCAATGAAGGAATCACAGGAAAGCAGGTTTGTGCTTATTTGTATTCTTATTTTTTAATTAACATATTAATAAAAGCAAATGCATATTTGTTATCATATTGTTAAAGTGTATCTAAAGCCAATACTTTTTTCTTGATAATAATAATATTCATAATAATAATCATCATATTTTTTAATCATAGTTCTGTAATAACTGGGTCTGTCAAGTTTTGGTGTTTGTTCGTGTTTCCGCTGTAAAGATTCCCCTCTCTATTTGTCCCTGTGATTACTTTCAGCAGGACTGAACAGAACTCACATTAGAGAGATTTTTCTCTCACGTCTTGTTCTGTCTACAGAACAGGAAGTGAAAGGAGATCTCCCCAATGGGACACAGATGAAAGAAATATAACCTGGCAGGGATTTAAAAAAAACTTACTTTACTGTTATAGCTGAAAGCCTCTATTTGCACTGTTCATCATACCCCGCCTTAACCCCTTCATGACTGAGGCCCTTTTTTCCATTTTTGCACCCATGTTATAAGTAAAGGTACTCAGCCTCTGATGAGAGTGACTATAAGAAAAATAGATTCTAAAGTGTCGCTTTTTTATTTACCTCACCTCATCCAGTCTGCTGAAAGTCTGACTGTGATTGAAAGCCTGCTTAATCCATCTTTACCTGGCAGCTATGTGATCCAAAGGCATCCTTAATCAATAACAACCCTAAAACTGCTTTTTGGAAGGATTAAAGAATGTTCCTTTGTTATGTAATTTTCTTCCCTGAGGCCTACACATACTATACTGTTTTTTTTAAATAAGTTGCTGTGAGTAAAGGGCTCTTCCTGAATGATTAGCTGTGTGCAGGATTACAATGACTGCTTGCAGAGGAAGTCCTTGTAATTCTGAGGTACAAAAGAGACACTGTAACCCTCTCCATTCAGGGCAAAGAGATAGTAACTTTACAATAAGCCCTATCTATGGATACTCTGCTTTCCTCCACTTCCCATGCTTCTCCTTCCTCCTTTGCAGCCAGGGATAAATCCCCAGTTTCAGCTGGTGTCAGATGCTAGCGGGAGCAGTGACGTACTCCCTCTGTGATGTGACAGTGCTTGGGCCTAGTGATTAGCAGCTAGACCTAAGCACTGCCACATGGAAGTAGGTCACATGCTCCCCCATATCAGGAAGCACCTGTTGTTATTATCACCAGCCACAATGGAGGAGCGACCGGGGAGCACTGGCCAAGTATCAGTGGGTCGGGGGTCCTTTACGCATGAATGCAAAAGCAACAAAAAGCAGCTTAACCAGTTGCCGTCCGCCCGTTGTAAAAAAACGGACGGACGGCACTGCTGCATTGGCGGGTTTCCGTCTCCAGACGGCATTTTTTTTCTGCCGCCGCGCACGGGCAAAAAAAACCCATGCAATGCAAACACCTGTTACCGGGTGTTTCACATATAGACGATCGGTGGCTCTATAGCCTGACGATCGTCTATATGTGCTCGTTTTTTCAGTGTCCCCCCGTCTGCTGCCGCCGCTTTTTTGGTCCCCCCGTCTGCTGCTGCCCCCCCCTCCTGACCCCTCACCTTCAATCCCGGGATCCGCTGCCCCATTCTGC